TTCAGATTCCCATAATCTTGAGAATTAAGCCCGTCTGCATCAAAAAATTGGGCCCATTCTGTATAAAGCTTAACACCAGAAATCATGACTTTGTTCAAAGCTGTTTCGTTCCAACGACACAAACTTTTGTTCAGTGCTAAAATACAAAAATTATTCATTATCAACTTGTATTATTATAAATACAGCTAAGTATTTAATTTATCTTCATAAGTCCTTTATCATCTTACCCATTACTGAGGCAGATATGCCCAAAGGCACCAAATGGCAATCATCTATATCGTAAACAGAACTGGTGTTCAGAACTTCATAGTCCTTTGAAATATTAAAAACAAATCCAAAATGTCTTGTAGAAACATTAAATCTAGTTCTTGGTTTATCTTTAGATTTTGGACGAATGGAATCAATGTATCTTTTAAGTTGATTTGTAACAGCGCCATCTTGATTGGGCGTAGAAAGTGCTTCCACTTTGTGAAACTAGAATGGAAAATGAAATATTTGAAGTTAAATAAACTAAAAATTCACACCTGTGATGTATAAGGATTAAAAATATGTATTCGTAAGATTTAAACTTGATTGTCTACTAATGTGCTTAAATTTTTATATTTAAATTATTATCATATGTGTTTTTAAACCAGATGCATCAGAAAACATTTATTATTACAAAATGTACAAGGAAATGGTCCTTCAACAGAGTCTACACAAAAAAGAATTTTTAATTCAGTCAACTTTTTATGTTCATCCCACTTCTACTTTTATTTTCATCTATAGTTTATCCATTTTCTTAAAAATGATTTCATTTCAAACTATATATATATACAGTTACAAAGTCATCATTAATTTCATGAAAAGTAATTCTATACAGTTTTAGAATCTTTCGTTTGTTATATTTCTTCTCTGTTTCTCTTTTCCCTTTCGTTTCTCACAACCCGCTCCCACTCCTTCATTACATTTTCGTGACTACACTTGTGTTGTAACCTTGATCAGTGTCCATAATGCACCGCTATTAATAACATAAAATATAGGAGGGCATATATGTGCTCCTTCAATTTCTTGTTTGTTAATATAATAGTATATTATTATTTTACACAAATTTAGTGTCAATCAATTTTACATCATAATTAATTTTTTCTGTTGTTTTTCCTGGTTTGGTATGTATAAATTCCTCCTTTTTTATATATTTATATTTATCATCAACTTTGTATTTATGTTATATGTTTTTTAGATTACTGAATGATGACACACATCAAGTGTCGAAACGTTTAATGGAATAAATAATTTTGTTATTTAATCTTTTTTTTAATTCGACGATTGGGCTGCAAAAATATTACAATTATGTATCAACGTCGACAAAACTATCATCATATATATATACACAAATATATATATTGTTGGAAACAATAATTTTTTGGCTTTTTCATGATATACTAGCTGCACCCAATCATGCGTTGCAGTGTTATGCATATATAAATTAAAATCTAAATAAAAAAAGAGTGCGAGTAAGATACACGCGATTGAAGAGTAAAACATATTTGCTACTGTACAAAGTAGCAAATTTAAGTTAAGTAAAAATAAATACCTCATTTAACCATTTTGAATATTGTTTATTAGTAATATGGCAACACTCATGATGCACACATTTATTAGTGTCAACCATTATACACATTTATATAATGATAAATTATAATTTATATATTTATAATAGCATTAAAAATATGTATAATATTCAAAAACAATAATGTAATTAAAGTCATATTTCAAATATGACATGATCGGTTTGTCATTGTAATTAGCATTTAGAATGAACATTCATTATAGAAATGAAGTAAATGCTGATTAATAAATTCTATAATTCGTTCACACAGTGAATTATGTTAAACAACACCTATACAAATATTGTTTTCGCAACTTCACTCATCATGTAATTGTGTTTGAAGAACTTCATGTAATTAAAATTAACGTACATTCATTGACTGCTTGTATTTTTTTTACTTTTTCGCTGGCGATATAATCTCATTTTCTGAACAGCTGTAATATCTGTCTTGCCTAACAAATATTTTCCATTTTAATAACTTCAAAGTTTTATAGAAACTATGAATAATATAGAAATAATTTCTGAACAATAAACTTACGTTTAGTACACGGCACGAATGTTCACTTTGTTTTATTATTTTCAAGAAAAATATTCTTTTGATTCATTCATTTTTCATTAAGTCAAGATTTGTACTACGATGTAACTTTAAAATGTTTATTTATCTATGCCGATTTCCTTGTTGATATCGGCACGCATACAACGTTGATGCCGGTACGCATACAACGACAGATCTCTATTCACACACAACGACTAATCACAATCGACCCGTATTGAAATTGTTTCATCGAGAGCGAATGACGTACGTTTTGGGCGTAACGCTATTTGCGTTGCATTTGTACGGATTTACACCCCAGTCGCGCCTAAAGAAGTTTTACTTCAAAAATACGATTCTGTTACATCGCATTATCAAGATGGAAAATATTCCATCTCGCGCTCGTATCTTTCGTGATTGATTGTAGAGCTGTATTAAGAAGCGTGAGATGTTGAATGGGATATTTCGCTCGAAGATGCAGCTAAAGGTGCGCTTCGCCTAACGAACGAACATGATGAATAATATGCGCAGACTAAAAACTTCAAACAAAAACGAATCATGCGCATATTATTCGTGATTTTGTTCGTTACGTGAGGAGCACCTTTAGATGCTTCTTCGAGTGAAATATCCCATTCAGCATCTCACGCACGTTAATACAGCTACTACAATCACAAATTATGCCTCAAATAAAGTGTTTTTTTTTTAAATTTTTTTAATAAATAGAATTTGTTTATAATAATAATTTTTTTTTTAATTACAGAAGTAAACATTTATAACTTTTTAAAGATCAAAATGTATAAAATCATATTGAAAATCTATTAAGTGAAATGAAACACTTTAAGAAATTAATGAAATTTTGCCATGATACCAAAAAGCATATTTTATTATTAAATTTAAAATGTATTGTATTAATTACCAGCAATTTACCTAAAAGTTTTTGCATTTGTTTTAGTTGGAATTTAACACTGGTTTGAAAATATTTTTAACTTCTCGAAGGGTAAGTTATAGTAATCGCAAAAAAATCGAAAATGAAGATGTTTATATATCTTTACGTTTCAGAGGTTTCTGAATATTTTGGCATACCTTAGAAAAAATGGATGTATGTGTATGTGTGGGCGTGTGTGTATGTGTGTGCAGAAACAACTTTTCGTCGACGCTTTCGGGAACACGGATGAAGCGATTTGAGTAATTCAAAAAACATTCGATTCGTATACATAAGGAGACGTGCTGATTGAATGCAATTGAAATGCAAGAATGCATTTCACGGTTATAAAATTTTATGCCAAGTTTTATAGTTCTTTTATGTTCATATAGATATATAGAAATAAAATAAAATATTCTATGTTTTATTATATTTATTTGTACTAAATATCTCTCTGAATTGTAACATCAATGGAATTGACAGAGTTATTAGCAACGTTTCTAAAAATTCATAAACCACAAATGTTATGTTTAGAATAATTATGTAAATTTAAATTACAAAATATTTACATTATATTACGCTTCATTTGATCTTCATCTGTTAAAGTTTAATTAATAAACATGTTCTCCAATAATACAATTAATCACGAGGTGAAAATCTCTTTTTGGCGAAGGCAGGTCTAGCCGTTCCGAAGATATAGGGCAAAAAGTGCCAAAAACGGTAACACTGTTTTTAAGAGAACGGAACGTCCGATTTGAATAATTCAAAAAACATTTCACTTGTATTAACAAGATGAAGAACTGATCAAATTTTCATGAAGGCAGGTCTAGCGGTTTCGGAGATCTAGTAAAAACAAAAGCCATCTGGCGGTCAAAAATGATCATTAGACATATGCACATCAAATTGTCACACATTTTATAGAGATTTTAACAATAAGTATAAACTTTGTTTACATTCCTATGGGTTCCGTACCACTATTTATCCGTTAGACGGCGACGCGGCGCTTACTACGCGCTTTGATATTTTGTCTCTATGCGGTTAAAGCAGTGAGATTGCTTTGAAAAAAGTTCAGAATTTTCAAAATATTTCAAAATAAGTTTTTCTTCAAGTCTTTTTTTTTTCAAAAAAAAGTATATATTTGTCAAAAATTTATAGTTTCTCAAAAATCTAATTTTTTCAGAGTAAATTTTTTTCAAAAATGTTAATCCTTTTCAAAAAATATAATTTTTGGTACGGAAAGTTCCAGCAATTTGCCTTAAGGCACGATGCCATGCGCCCTACTAGTCATAGATAAGTAAACATAAAATAGTTCACTTTAAGCCACTAGTTTTTAAATTCATAAATGTCTAGATTTGTATTTACACAAGTCGCAAATTTTTCCCGATCTAGTCTCGTTTCAAAGATGGCCGCCATAATAAATTAAAATGGCGTCGATCTGTCAAACAATGTTTATTTATAAAGAAACAAAAATGTATGAAGACACAAATTAAATCTAAACTCTATTTATTTATAGCATAGTATATATTATATAACACATACCAAATATTTATATGTATATTTATTAACAATCGGCCTCCTTCAGAAGATATTACCCACCTATTGCGTTTAGCAAAAATTGTAAATAAGAAGATATGGCCGGGAATCTTGAACAAATTGTACAAGTAGTCCTACAGAAATCAGACAGAGGTTTAAAATTGTAAATAGAATAAGATATGGTCGGGAATCTTGAACAAATTGTACAAGTAGCCCTACAGAAATCAAACAAAGATTTAAAATTGTAAATAGAATAAGATATGGCCGGGAATCTTGAACAAATTGTACAAGTAGCCCTACAGAAATCAGACAGAGATTTAAAATTGTAAATAGAATAAGATATGGCTGGGAATCTTGAACAAATTGTACAAGTAGCCCTACAGAAATCAGGCAGAGATTTGAAATTGTAAATAGAATCAGATATGGCCGGGAATCTTGAACAAATTGTACAAGTAGCCTTACAGAATTCGGACAAAGATTTAAATTGTATTACTATCACTGGTGAAGTATTAGAATTTGATCCTGGTGATATAAAAGCTGAGATTGTCGCCAACAATGGATTTGAACCTGAGATTACCCTCCAACAAGAAGAAGTAGAGTACAAATGTGCAAAATGTTCCTTCACAACGTTTCTGGTTTTTGAATTTGAGTTGCATGCTAAAAATTGTATTATTAAACAAGAGGATTATGAAAATGAGCACCTGCGTTGTAAGTTTTGTAATAAAGTCTTCAAGCAATTAGGTTGGTTGAATAGTCACTTGGTAAGTCACTCGACAGAGAGGCGTTATAAATGTGATATCTGTGATAAGGCGTTTAAACGAAGAAACAATTTAAATGAACACAAAAAAATACATAATAAAGAACCTGCTGAAGTTATTTATAACAATCCTGATATTGAAATTGAGCCTGAAGTCACACTGGAACAAGAAGATACAGAGTATAAATGTGAAAACTGTGATTTTATAACTTTTTTAACCTACGAATACGAATCTCATATTAAAAAATGCATGGTTAAGTCTGAAACGGTTGAATATAATCCTGATGAGGGCCCTCACAAATGTATGGTTTGCAATAAAGGTTTTAAACATTTAGGAATGTTACACAGTCATTTAGTAAGTCACTCCACAGTCCGACAATATAAATGTGATCAATGCGGGAAAGGCTTTAAGCGTAGGAATAACTTAAACGAACATATAAAAATACACAGTAAAGAAACCCCCCACGAGTGTTTTGTTTGTGCAAAACGTTTCAAACAACCTAGAGACTTGTTAAGGCACATGGAAACCCATACTGATGAAAAGCGATACAAATGTGATTTATGTGAAAAAACATTTAAATTCAAAAATCTTCTCACCAGGCACGTGCGGACACATTCTGAGGATAAGCCTCACGAATGCCCCGTGTGCAGACGTGCATTTACCCATCACAGTTATTTATTACATCATATCAAAAGCCACTCTGAAGACCGTAACTATAAATGCACTGTTTGTGATAAAGCGTTTAAATTAAGGAGCACCTTGGGGCACCACATGAAAATACACACAGGAGAACGTGCACACGAGTGTCAAATCTGCCACAAAAGGTTTACTTTATCCGGTCATCTGGTGCTCCACATGGATTCCCATTCTTTAGAAAAAAAATACAAGTGTGAGTTGTGCGGGAAGGCTTTTAAAGGACGAACCGGTTTAGTGTATCATATTGATACGCACTCCGAAGAAAAAAAACATAAGTGTCATATTTGTGATAAAAGGTTCCAGGGACGAGCAGGTCTTGTTTACCATATGGAGACTCATTCTACGATAAAACAGAAGTGTAAAATTTGTTTAAAAGAATTTGTACATATAAGCGATATGGCTAGGCATATAAAAATATTACACTCGAATGATAAACAGTTTAAATGCAGTATTTGTCAGACTTCTTTCTTCGATGAAGAAAGTTTGACTGAACATATGACTATACATGAAGAGAATATAGATGTACCGAGTGCACCAGTGTTAACAGAAGCTGTTCCTGGTGCACATTTTTTAAATGGATGTTGATAATTTAATTGATAAATGATGTTTTGTAAATATTAATGTTTTAATTGTAAATATATTGACCCTTAATTTATAAATAGAGATCTACTTAATTTAAATATGCATTCTTATTCATTTTCTTGATGTTGAAACATGTTTAAATTGATAAAATTAAACTAGTGGTGTATGGCACCTTGCCTTAAGGCAATTTTCTGGTACCGTAACGAAATATTCAAAGAATACTAAGTCTTTTCAAATATATTATTGTAAATACTGTAACTTTCATTTTAGGTATTTTATAGACAAAATATAAGAGTGTATAAATTGGATTACAATGTTTATACCAGTTTACATTAAAAGTAAACAAACAAAACTTAATCAAGAGTTAGAATGAAGAACCTTATCTCATATATCTAAGAATTGTACGAACTGAATTTCAAAGTTAAAATTATTTATTTCAAGTACATAAGTGAGTAAGGACTTTATCTCATATTTTTAAGATTTATATGAACTGAATTGCAAAGTTGAAATTAATTATTTCAAGTAAATAAGTGAGTAAGGACCTTATCTCATGTTTCTAAGAATGATATAAACTGAATTGCAAAGTTAAAAAATATTATTTAAAGTAAAGGCCTTATCCTATATTTCTAAAAATTATATAAACTGAATTGCAAATTTAAAATTATTTATTTCAAGTATATAAGTGAGTATATAAGTATATAAGGACCTTATCTCATATTTCTAAGAAGTATATAAACTGAATTGCAAAGTTATAACTATTCATTTCAAGTAAGGACCTTATCCCATATTTTTAAGAACCATATAAACTGAATTGCAAAGTTAAAATTATCTATTTCAACTACATAAGCGAGTAAGGACCTTATCTCATATTTTCAAAAATTATATATACTAAATTGCAAAGTTAAAATTATTTATTTCAAGTACATAAGTGAGCAAGGATCTTATCTCATATTCCTAAGATTTATATAAACTGAATTGCAAAGTTAATAATATTTATTTTAAGTGCTTAAGTGAATAAGGACCTTATCTCATATTTTTAAGAATTATATAAACTGACTTACATAGGCAAAATTATTAATTTCAAGTATGTAAGAGGGCTTTAGAATTCAAACTAAAATCCGAATTATTTTTTGAAAAAGAAATAAAGAAATATATTTTATTGCTTTCCCCAAAAGCAATCATTTGGTCAATACAAGCAAAATGTTTTTTGAATCATTCAAACCGGACGCTTCGTTCTCTCAGAAACTACAATATTTTGCACATCTAGGCTTCTTGTCTCCGAAACAGCTAGACCTGTCTTTGCCGAAAACTAATCACCACTTTTCCCCATCACTACGAATTGAATGTTTTTTGAATCATTCAAATCGGAAGATCTGTTCTCTTTACGTTTCAGCGGTTTCTGAACATTTTGACATACCTTAGAAAAAATAGATGTGTGTGTGTGTGTATGGATACAGTTTTTCGTCGATGTTTTCGGGAGCACCGGTCAACCGATCTGAATTATTCAAAACTAAACGACATAATTTCAGCATGCCCAATACAGTCGACTTATTTTGTTCTTTATTTCTCTCTTGTTATCTTTCTCTCTCTTTTCAACTTTTTCCATTTGATTTTTATTGATGAGGAGGACGAGCTGATTAGTTTTTGGCAAAAGTCAGTCCAGCCGTTTCGGAGATACAAAGCAAAGAGTGCAGAAAATGAAAATCGCGTTTTTGAAAGTACGAAGCATCCGATTTGAATTATTCAAAAAACATTCAATTTGTAATGATTGGGAGAAGTGGTCATTAGTTCTTGGCAAAGATAGGTCCAGCCTTTTCGGAGAAACGGAGCTAAATGTGAAAAAGATAGCAATTTTTGAGAGAACAGAGCATCGGATTTGAATGATTCAAAAAACCTTTTGCTTGTATTGATGAAACGACTTTTGGGAAAAGAATTTTTTTTTTAATTTCAATTTTTTTTTTCAATTTTGAATATCAAAAATAATTCGGATTTTAGTTTTTATTATAGCTAAAATTTCAAAGCTCACTTATATACTTGAGATAAATAATTTAAACTTTGCAATTCAGTTTACATGATTCTTAGAAATATGAGATAAGGTCCTTTATTCTAACACCACTTGATCAAGTTTTGCTTATTTATATGTAAACATATATAAACGTCGTCATCCAATTTATAAGCTCTTACATTTTGTCTATAAAATACGAATAATGAAAGTTACAATATTTATAATATATTTGAAAACGTTTAATATTTTTTGAATATTTCATTACGGTATAGGAAGTTTCAGCAATTTGCCTTAAGACACGATGCCATACACTGCTAGTTTATTTATTTAAATGTTTTACTTCATTTTTTGTTTTAAAACTATGTGTATATTTTATTTGGTGCTTCTCATTTTTATGTGTTTTGATTGAATTATTTGTATGCACTGAAGATGGGTCAGAACAAGATTCAAAACGTATGCTATTCTAATAAAGTCGTTCTTCTTGATTGAATTCATCATCTTTATGTATTATATATATATATATATATATATATATATATAATAAACTATTTAAACTGCGTTTAGTATATTCTGTAACTTATATATTTCTTATATTTCATAATTTTAAAAAATAGATTTCAACATTCGTTAAAAACTCATGAAACTTTGTCAATCTTATAATTAAAAACTACATAATGATAATTACAAAAACAAAATAATCATGTCGTCTTATTTTGGCATCGTGATAACCGTTGCTTTCCAAATCGAAACCACTCAACAGCTGTTTGTACAAATATTGATTCGGTTAAATCTGGTATGTGGGTTATTAATGTATCTAAAAATAAATAAATATTAATAAATAATACTTGTATTATAATTAAATACATAAATAGGCCGATTCTGCCACCACATAACACACCAATTTTATGGCAAGGCCATGTTACGCTCCAACTTGCATACATTATGCTACTAAATACTGTCAAAATGTAATGTATTTGCTGTGAATTCAGGCGTTTTACACATAAACTGCAACGCCACTCCTATGTTATGAAGCTGGGTCAGAAAGACCCCGTCACCTACCTAAGATCGTTTTTTGGCCTTTGTGCGGTTTCTAGATTAGATTTTCTACCTGACAACCTGAGAAAAATGCCTGACTGCACAGCAACTACATGACCTTTGTCAATATTCAGTATAAAAAGTTCTTCATAACATGACCTTGCCATAACATTGGCCTGTTATGCAGCACAATCGGTCTATAAGACTATACAGTGGTGGTGCCCCGACATACGAGTTTCATTCATTCCCTAATCATGCTTGTATTTCGAAGCAATTGTTCCCATATTGAAATGTTATTATGTAATTTGTTTCTGAACTCTGGTTTTCGTTAGGTTTTTTGAATATTAAAAATAAATTTACAATTTATTAATTAACTTTTCATAGGATAAGTTCTAGTAATCACAAAAAAGATAAAAAATGATTGTTTTTGACATATCTTTACGTTTCAGAGGTTTCTGAACATTTTGACATACCTTAGATAAAATGAAAGTATGTGTGCGTGTGTGTGCATATGTATCTGTGCACTATGTATGTATATTTGGATACAAATTTTCGTCCAAGATTTCGAGAGCACAAATCTGCCGATATGAATGATTCCAAAAACATTCGATTTGTATTAATGCAGAGACGTGCTGATTAGTGTGTATATAGTATGTATGTATGCTTGGATACAATTTTTCGTCCACATTTTCGAGAGCACGGATCAACCGATTTGAATGATTAAAAAAACATTCGATTTGTATTAATGCGGAGACGTGCTGACTAGTATGTACTATGTATGTATGTTTGGATACAATTTTTCGTCGACGATTTCGAGAGCACGGTTCAACCGATTTAAATGATTCAAAAAACATTCGATTTGTATTGATGTGGAGACGTCCTGACTAGTATGTAGTATGTATGTATGCCTGAATACAATTTTTTGTCCACGATTTCAGGAGTATGTTTCAACCGATTTGAATGATTCAAAAAACATTCTATTTGTATTGATAACTAGTGTGTGTAGTATGTATGTATGTTTGGATACAATCTTTCGTCCACGATTTCGAAAACACGAATCAACCGATTTGTATGATTCAAAAAACATTCGATTTGTATTGATGGGGAGACGTGTTAATTAGTATGTATGTATGTTTGGATACAATTTTTCGTTCACGATTTCGAGAGCAAAGATCAACCGATTTGAATGATTCAAAAAACATTCGATTTGTATTGATGGGGAGACGGGCTGACTAGTTTTTAGCAAAAGCAGGTCCAATCGTTACAAAGATACTATAAAAATAAAAACTATTAATGCAGTTATAAAAGAACAAAATAAAAAATACCACAAAAATTACGACTAAAACAAATATTTAAACTAGTGGGGTACATGGCATCGTGCCTTAAGGAAAATTGCTGGAACTTCGCGCACCGTAATTAAAAATCTTGGTACGAAACCCAAAAAAATTTACACCAAATTTGTACACATTATTAAAATCTCTATAAAATATCTGATAATGTGATGTGCATATGTCCAATAAACATTTTTGACCGCCAAATAACATTTTTTTAACTTATTTTTATTGAGAGTCCATCCAGGCCAAAATGTTCAGAAACCTTTGAAACGTAAAGATATATAAAAAATTTCATTTTCGATTTTTTGCGTTTACTATAACTAGCCCTACGGGAAGTTAATAAATATATATTAAAAAAAAAACAAAATTTTCCAAAAAGGCCAGTTGTTTTCAAATTTTTCAAAAATCTACTTTTCATATCCCGAATTTTGCTCGTATGTCAAAGCAACAAATCGCTCATTTGCCGGCTCGTATCTCGAAACCCTCGTAAGTTGGGATACCGCTGTATTTTACAAAAATTTATGTCTAGTAATCCTACCTTTAATTATTTTCATGGTCATCAAGTTATTAACAGCAAAATTATCTTTCCTTCCATACCAGGAACAGACCGCTGCCAATTCTCTAGAAAATACTTTTCTCAAGACATTCTTGATGTACTCACATTGTTTACGACCCCCAACTTTCATAACAAAGTTTTGCTGAAATCACATTAATTAACTTAGTAAAAAAAACATTACAATATGTATCTATTATTATTTACCAATTCGGCAACATATTCGTAATCCTTTAACATTTCTTCACAACATGTTATCTCCTCGACTGTCCCGAGTGGGAAGAAACTATCAAAAGTACTATTATTTGTTCCATTAGGAATAAGGGGCCCAGAACCTCTTAAATTCTCCATAATTTGGTCTAGTTTTGTATGAAACGTTGCATTCATTTTTATTATATGTTCTTCGAGCCTTGTTATTTTCTTTTCAAGTTTTCTACAACAGCATTCGGCTTCTGTTTGGGTTTCTTGCATTGAAAGTTCTTTTGATTTTGATGTTGTAGCTGAAGGGGCCATGAAGTGGTTTCCCATGTTGTCTAAAATATAATATGATGTAGAAATTTGGTGATGAAGATTTTGTAAATGAAGTAGACTCTTGGTAATTCAAGGATTAGGGATTTTCAGAAAAAGAAACATTTTGCAATCCAACAAGCAATGAATTTATAAACTAGCTGTAAGGGGCATTTTGTCCTGAGGCAAGTTACATGAACAATTTGTGTAAATAATTGATTTAATCAAATATAATTTGATTTTTTTATGCCTGTCTACTTATTAACTTCCCGAAGGAGAAGCTTATGTTTTCATAAAAAAATCCGATTCTCTAATTTTATGTCTTCCCGACGTTTCAAGTCATTCTGAATCGAATGAGACCAAATTTGGAAAAAGTGTGTGTGTATGCATGTGTGTGAACAGATTTTTTGCCGTAAATCGACATTTACTCAAAAACTGCTGGACCGATTTCAAAAATTTAAAAGCCATTCGATGTAACTTGATGAGGACTATCGTTTGTCAGTTTTAGGCTACGATCGGCCAAACCGTTTCTTTGTAAATAGCAGAAAAGTGAAAAATTTATCGTCCACGTTTTAGCCCGCAATTCTGAATCGATTTTAAAAATTTCAAAAACATTTTGCAAGAGAATCGTGCTGTTGGTAAAGATCAGCCGGGCCGTTTTCTTGTAATAAAGTGTTAAAAAAAATTTTTTTTGGCGATTTTTATGAATTTTTTTTGACGGTAGATACCATAGTCTTTTAGATCATACTAAAATATTACGGTCCTACGACAAGTCGTTTAATTTTAAAAATTCGTCAAAAATTTGCAAAAAATTAGTATCGTTATTTTTGGAGTTTGTCAAAATTAGACCTTTGATCGATGTTTTCTCAAAACTACCTGAACCGATTTCAGAAATTTAAAAACCATTTGATGTATCTCAATGAGGACTATCGTTTGTCAGTTTTGTGCGACGATCTGCCGAGCCGTTTCTGTGTAATTTGGAAAAAAGTGTTAAACTTTTCGTCCACATTTAAACTCATTACCGAATCGATTTTGAAAAATCAAAAACTGTTCAAAAGATATTAGTTGGGAATGATACTGATTAATTTTAGGTGAAAATCTATCGAGCCGTTTTCTAGTAATTAACTGTTTGAAAAAAAAAATTAAGCCGATTTTTATAGAACTTTTCTTGGCGATATACACCTAAGTCTGTTTTTACACGGTCTTTTTGTACACGGTTTTGATATAACACGGTTTCAAAATTGAATATTTTTAATTATTTTACACGATTTTATTCCATTTAGCACGATTTGAAATCTTATGTACTTAAATTTTTTTTTGTCAAATTTAATTTTTGCGAAGTATGTTCATATCACAAAAAAGTATTTATGAAAGAAAAAAGTCTGAAACCATCGATAGTTTGCGAACACTAGCTTAAAGATTTACGTGAATTCCCCTTTAGCGCGTACAAACAATTTTTAACTGGTCAAAGCAAATGTGAATAGCACTAATTTAGGGGAATTTCCTTTATGTGCATACAATAAAATTTACTGGTCAAAGCAATTGAAACGTGTTAATATTTTGTGAACTGTCAATGCCATAAGAGGTGTTTGGTAAAGAAATTTTTTGCAGGCAAATTTTCACTAATTTTAATAGGTTTTAGAGATTAGGAACAAATCACCCATTTTTGTATAAGATCAATATCTTTTTTTACACGTTTTTTTTTATCACGTGTACGGCTTCTTCTGGAACCAATCTACCGTGTAAAAACAGACTTAGGTGTATATCATGGTCTTATAGACCTTACTGAAATATTACGGCCTTACGACAAGTAGTTTAATTTTAGAACTTCATCAAAGTTTGAGAAAATGAGTAGTTTTTTTTTATGCTTGTTAAAATTAATATCAGACGATTTACTTGGCACAACGATAGAGTATTTGGTCTTAATGAACATACTAAACCAATAAAGTCTAACGAAAACTAGTTCAATCATAAAAATTGTTGATTTGTGAAAATTTGCTTCTAGAAAACACTCCGAGCTAACGTGTTCGTTCATTTTCAATTATGTGTAATAAATCCACTTGGAATACTTTTAATCACTCATAAATTAATTTATTTTTTATTGATTAATTAGATTATTTACACATATCAGGAAGTTCATGTAACTTGCCATAAGGCAAAATACCAATACCAACTAGTTCACCTATTCCCCTGTCTACTTATCTACCTGTCCACCTGTCTAATTACCTACCTGACAACTTTTATACTTATCTACCTATCTTACTTAATGCCTCTACGATGTTATAAAATGGTATATATAAATACATCAATGTTAGGATATGGTTAATTTAAATATTTGACATTAAAATCTCTCTCAACCCCAATTAGGGTCGTGACCCATAGTTTAAGAAACCCTGTTGTAGATGATACTAATCCTGATACATATATGCTCCATTTACAAATATGCTTACCGAGCATTTAAAGACATCAAATCAGTTGATGTGAATATTTTAAAGCCCATAATCTTCCACATATTTTGCATTCGTTACAGTTAAGGTGAACCAAATCAAATTACCAAGAATCTACCGGCAGTTATGACTAAATACTTACCACTTTCTTCATCTATCGTAAAAGCATCACAAGCCTTTCTTTTCCTGCAAACATTAACAGGATCTTGTGTTTCAATTTTACTTTACTAATTCTATCACTTTCCTTTAAAGATTCTTCTCCATCCACTTCCCTAGGGTGCTCTTCCACAATCACTTCAGTTTTCATGAATCTCTTAAAAGAAGTCTTTTCATCGTCCGAATAACCATCTGATTTAACATTTTCGAAAGCTTCGAATTCATTTTTCGAGAAGGTTTTATTGTTTTTCACACCCGAATAGGAATATTCAAGTGCTACGATATCAATGGAAGAAGCAATTTTTGCTTCGGACATTTTTGTGAAATAATAAACTTGTGGAATGTCAATTTATTGTCACGAGGTGTTACATGTGATATATAATTTGTTTTAATTATATTTTGTACTTGTTAATAACTAGAACTATGTTTGTTTTAAGTAAAAGAAATATAAAATACATACATCGCGTGTTGTTATTGACATTTTTAGTTAGCTGTCAAAACATCAAAGATGGCGGATTGATACCAACGTTAAGAAAAATTAATATAAATTTAAAAATCAGGCGCCAAAAATTATTTAATTTTTGTTTTTAAAACATAATTTAACTAGGTGTGAGTGGAAATTTGCCTAAACTTCCGAATTTTATAAATACCCAATATGACTTAATATGTAAGAATTGAGATTAGGACATAAACGTATATGTGCTAAGGGTGCGTCCAAAATTCTTAAATTCCATTATCCATAAAACTTAAGTTTTATTTTTAGTCTTATTATAAATAAATAATTATTTATCTATGCCACAATTCTTATTTATCTATGTCCATTCCATAATGCTAATTTATACTTATTCATATATGTCATCGTGCCTTATGGCAAATTGCTGGAACTTTCCGCACCATAACGAAATATTCGAGGAATATTAAATATGTTTTCAAACAGATTATTATAAATACTGTAACTTTCATTTCATTATTCGTATTTTATAGACAAAATATAAGAGTGAAAAGTGAATAACAAAACCTAATTATAAAGCTTAGTGAGAATTGAAGGACCTTATCTCATATTTCTAAGAATTAATAAACTATAGTGAATTGCTGATACTAATAAACTAATTGCTGAACTAATTAATAAACCAGCTGAATTGCAAAGTTTCTCTTTTGAAGGGCATAAGTGTAGAAATGAGCTTTAGACTTTAGCTAGAATTAAAATTAAAATCCGAATTCTTTCCGATATTAAAAAAATATATTTTTTGGAAATTAAAAAAAATGAAATTTTAAAATATTTTTTTTCTTTACCAACAGCAATGGCTTCGTCAACACAAGCAGAAAGTTTATTAAATCATTCAAATCGGATGCTTAGCTCTCACAAAAACTGCCATTTTTTGTACATTTAGCTCTGTATCTCCAAAGCGACCAGACCTGCGAAAAACAAATCACCACTTCTCCTCATCATTACAAATTGAATGTTTTGGATCATACAAATCGGATGTATAGTTCTCTCAAAAACTCGATTTTTATTTTTTGCACTTGCTTCGTATCTCCAAAATGGCTAGACGACCTTTCTCAAAAACTAATCAGCACATCACCATTCAAATTGATTGATCCGTGTGCCAGAAAACATGTACGAAAAATTGTATCCCTACATAAATACACACGCATTATTTTTTCTGAGGTATGCCAACATGTTCAGAAACCTCTGAAACGTGAAGATATGCAAATAATTTCAAATTCGATTATTAAACCTTGTGACGTAACGAAGCTGTCACGTAACGAACAAAACCCGTTAAAGGTTACTAACTAAACGTAATATGAACGTTTTATTAACGTAATCATCAACCACGTAACGACGTTTCTTTTGAGCTATATATTATTTTAACTGTTGTGGTTTACTGCCTTAATATATCGCATATTTTGTGCGCAGTTGCATCAATGTTGCAAACGTTAATAAAATGTAACGGTTAATTACAAAGAAACGGTTGTGCTGACCGTCGCAAAAAGTTAATCAATGCGAGAACTTACCTAGTTCTCAACAGTTTTTGAGAAAACATACTTTTCCCAGTGTTGATTTCAAGTCAAACTAGTGGGGTGTGTGGCATCGTGCCTTAAGGCAAATTGCTGGAACTTCCCGTACCGTAACGAAATGTTCGAAGAATACTGAATGTTTTCAAATAGATTATTATAAATATTGTAACATTGTCTAATATTTATAAGAATTATATAAACTGAATTGCAGAGTTGAAATTATTTGTTCAAAGTATATTAAAACTATAGTCAGAATTAAAAATTATTTTCGATGTACAAAAAATTAAAAAAAAAAAAAAAATTGAAACAAAATTTTTATTTCCAAAATCTATTATTTTTTTAAGACAAGCAGAAAGTTCTTTGAATCAATTAAATCGGATGCATAGTTCTCTCAAAAACTGCCATTTTTTCAACATTTAGCTCTGTATCTCCAAAACCGCTGGGGCCTATCTTTACCAAAAACTAATAACCACTTTTCCTCGTCATTGCGTACTGAATGTTTTTTGGATCATACAAATCGGATGATCCGTTTTCTCAAAAACTCGATTTCTATTTTCTGCACTCTTTGCTCTTTATCTCCGTAACTGCTGGACCTGCCTTTGCCAAAAACTAATCAGCAGATCTCCTTATCAATAGGAATCGAATGTTTTTTGAACCATTCAAATCAGTTAATCCGTACGCCCGAAAACGTGGGCGAAAAATTGTATCCATACATACATACACACACACACACACACACATCCATTTTTTCTGAAGTATGCCAAAATGTTCAGAAACCTTCAAAACGTCGAGAAATGTAAAAATTTTCAATTCCGATTTTCGGCCCATTACAATAACTTACCCTACGGGAAGTTAAAAATTCAAAATGACTTGAAACGTCGAAAAGTTAGCAAATTGCACTTTCTGGCAAACACAAACTTTTCTTTTATAAAATTTAATAAAAACGTATGCTTTTTGTAACAAATTCGATTACTATTATAATATGGGATTAAATTAAGAGATTATCATTACAAACTTTTTATGAACCGTACATTCAAAATAAGTTTTTACAAAAATACCTTAGATATCAATGATATCTACTAGGTATGACGAGTTTACTGAATGTCGATCGTTTTTTTCTACAATATGTAGACTAAGATTTAAGATTTAACCATACATACACTCCGTTTCACCTGAATAAAATTGGGATCAATATCGATCCTAATTGCTAATGCTTGGGTGGAGCGACTAGGGAGGATGCTGAGCACGCCATTATGGATAACTATATACAATCAAATAAAATAAAAGTGTAAGGATAACTTATAAAATGCATATGACTAATGTACGTGTACACAAAGCCAACAAATCAACAATAAAAAAAGGAGTGGCTGAACCGATTTATCCTGATTTATTGATTAATTGTACTAATCCAGGAAAGATTTAAATGGTGATAAACTGAGAAAAAAATTAAGTAATGACAACTTTGGCAGTCAGGTGAAAGTAGCAATTTATTTTAAATACACAGAAAATTATTACAAAACTAATAATAGTTTTGTAATAATTATCTATATATTTAAAATAAATTGCTGTTATTTATCTGGATCAAACTCAAGAATGGCTGATAGAATTGGGATCAAATACCCGATCCTAATTGCTATTGTTTGGGTGGAGTGACTAGGGCGGATGCAGAGCACGCACGCACGCCATTTTGGAGTGCAAAAAATGGGAAAGGGGTAGGCAAGAACTATGGTGGGAGATAATAAAGCAAAAAATCTCCTTCCCAACCAATTTTATAACATTATTCACAAAGAAAAGGATATATGGTGCGCCATATAATTATATACAATCAAATAGAATAAAAGTGTAAAGATAACTTATAAAATGTATTTGCTTGATTACGTATATACAAAGTCATATATTAAATATTATCACATTTTTAATTGTTAAACAAATAACGCATTAGCAATGCTAAAAATAAAAATATAACATGCAGAAGACATACAAATGTTCATTATATCATTCTATCATAAATTTGATAAATTATCATTATATCAAATTTTCTGTGCAGAAAAATATAATATTTTATAAATTATAATTTTTTGTAAAAGATTCCTTATAGCTAATTAATTTTTATTTAAGGTCGTAGAATCTTGAAATTGTAATATATATATATATATATATATATATATATATATATATATAATAATTTATAAATAATATTATAATTATTTTATTGAACTAGTTTTGATACTATGTTTGTGTCATCTTCAGCAAAATTCTATAATATTTATATAAAGTATTAAAGAGAATACAATACATGTAACATGAATACAATTTTCTTTAAATATATATATATATATATATATATATATATATATATATAATAATAATAATACTTTATATAAAAAATTATAGTATTATGCTGAAGAAGACACAAATGTAGTGTCGAAACTAGTTCAATAACGAAATTATAAAATTATTTATATTTTTTATTCAACAACCAATATATATATATATATATATATATATATATATATATATATATATTTGCTTTGCTCATATTTATAATCATACTTGTAAATAGTTTATAGCTATATTTTGATCATAATTTAACAAAAATTAAAAATTATAAGAAGAGCTTTAAATTATACTTCATTGAGATTTAAATATTTATTTATTTACATAAAAGTTTTATCAACGAATGCATCAATATGATAGAATTGTTCTATCAAATTAAAGTTATCAAATGCTACAATGATCTATTTTATCAATGCAGTCTATCCATGTGTCTCTTCAAATTATTCGATTGTGAAAACGCTTGATGACATATTTCACAAACGTGAGGCTGCTTATTCTCGTGTATAAGCTTATGCCGCTTCAAACTGTCCAGAACACTAAAACTTTCATCACATTTCTCACATTTATATTTTCTAACTTCCCCATGACCATCCATATGTCTTTTTAAATTACTTTTCCTAGTAAATGTTGTACCACATATTTCACATTTGTGATTATGTGCAGGCCCCGAATGTGTTTCCATGTGAATTTTTAAATTATAAGATTGTGCAAAAGATTTATTGCACTCCTTGCATTCAAACCGACGCTCACCGGTGTGAATCCTCATGTGTCTTGACAAATCATTGTTCGCTGTAAATGATTTATCACATAGTTTGCATTGAAAAGGCTTATCACCAGTATGGAGACGTTTATGCCTTTCTAAGTCACTTTCAAAGATGAAGCCTTTGTAACAAAATTCACAAGTGTAAGGTTTAATCTTCTTGTGGGAATACAAGTGAATACCCAATCTGCAAGGAGTGCTGTAGATTTTATTGCATTTTGGACATTGAACACGCTTTTTTCTTCTACGTCTCCTAGGCTTTTTTGTACCTTCTTCATCACTGTTGGATTCATAATAATCTATACATTTATTGGCATTGCGTTTATATGTTTTTGGGCTGTTGAATATTGAATGTGGCATTGGATCAAATTCAGACTCACTAAAAAATAAATCTGATTCTAACTGAGTCTCTTGACATTGTTTATCTGATTCTTGATTAGAGTCGGAAAACTCCAAGTCTTGAGGATCACATTGTGTTTCACAAGAATAAATATTTTTTGAATCCATTTTGTCTTTGTTTTTAATTGTAATTGACTTTGATGTAATAAATAATATAATATGTAATACCTTTGAAAATGAATTTCAATTAGGTTATGTTCAACAAAAATCACATTTTCTGTTTTTGTAATGTCAACATTAAACAAGAGCGTATTAATTTGTATACTAAAAATACTCACTATTATTTTACTTCAAACTTAATGTATTATTGTGTTATATCATTTATTTTGTTAAAATACTTCATTAATAACAAATAAATTCGTTGAACGCTTATTTGACATTTGTCTAAATCAAAATGGCGCCTAGTGGCGCCAAGGATGAAATTTTCAAAATAATAAATTGTTGTTTCATAGTAAATTAAAAGTACAACTAAAACGTTATATTTAATTGTAATTGACTTTTTTAACTTTTTGGTGTAATAAATAATGTATAATATATTAACTCTGAAAAATATATGGTTGTGATCAACAAAAATTATCATATTTGTGTATCTAACTTCAACAGTTAACAAGAACTTACCAATTTGTATGTTATAATACTTATATTTTGCTTTAAATTTATTGTATTATTTATTTTATTAGATTATTTCATTAAAAATAAATAAATTTTTTAAACGCTTATTTGACATTTGCCTAAATCAAAATGGCGCCTGGCGGCGCCAAAGATGAAGTTTTCAAAATAACGGTTTGTTGTTTCATAATAAATTAAAAGTAGAACTACATCGTTATATTTAATTATAATTGACTTTTTTAGTTTTTTGGTGTAATAAATTATGTATAATATATTAACTCTGCAAAATAATAGTTTGTGATCAACAAAAATTATATTTGTCTATCTAACGCCAACAGTTAACAAGAACTTACCAATTTGAATGTTATAAAACTTTTATTTTGCTTGAAATTTATTGTATTTTTTAGTTTATTGGATTATTTGATTAGAAATAAGTAAATTCTTTAAACACTTTTTTGACATTTGTCTAAATCAAAATGGCGCCAAAGATGAAATTTCAAAATAAGAAATTGTTATTTCATAGTGAGTAAGTGATTTTTATGACTTTTTAATGTAATAAATAATGTGTAATATATTAACTTTGTAAATTAATTCAACCAATCATTCAATTAATTAAGCCAACAAAAAATATAAAGTCGATATAAAGTGAACACTTAACAATATCTTACCAATTTGTTTGTTATAAACCTTTTATTTTGCATTAAATTTATTGTATTACTTAGTTTATTGGATTATTTTATTAAAAATAAATTAAAATTAATACACTTTTTTGACATTTATCTAAATCAAAATGGCGCCAAGGATGCAATTTTCAAAATAATAAATTGTTGTTTCATAGTAAATTAAAAGTAGAACTACTTACTACTTAAAAGTAGAACTACATAGAATTACATTTATAACTTTTTAATGTGATAAATAAATATAAATAAAATAATTAACTTTGTAAATTAATTCCAAATTTTAGTCAACACAAAATATAGAGAATAATATTTGTCAATATAAGGTGAACAGTTAACAAGAACCTACCAATTTGTATGTTATAATACTTTTATTCTGCTTTAAATTCATTGTATTATTTAATTTATTGGATTGTTTTAAAAAATAAATCTTTCAAAATATGATCTTTGAACACTTTTTTGACATTTGTATAAATAAAAATGGCGCCAAAGATAACATTTTCAAAACGTATAAAAATTTTGTAGGTTTGTGTTTAGAATAAATTAAAAATAAAACTGAATAATTATTTTGAGTGATACAATTTACAAAGAACTTATCAGTTTGAATTTTAAAAACACGTACTTTATTTTGCTTTAAATTTTATGTTTCATAAACATATTGTAAATTCTTTGAACCTTTTTTGACATTTGTGTAAATCAAAATGGCGTTAAGGATGAAAGTTTAAAAACATAAAATTTTTGTAGATTAATAAGTTAAAAATAAAACTGTGTAATGGTGATATGTTATTGTAAATCACGTGAAATAATACAAAAATTTGGTGTTCTTACCTTTATAAATCAATTAATTTACTTTGTCATACAAATACATCACTTTTTAATATGAAGCCAGGATTTATGTAAGTAAATGAATTACTTATTATTTATATGATAGATTTTATTTCTTATAACCTAATGAATATAATATTATTTTAACTATGCAGATGACGATTGAATAAGGTTAGTAAATAAATATATAAAAGTCTCTTTTGCAAGTAAAGCAAAATGTCAAACTAACATCAAAATGACAGTTGAACGTGAAATAGTTTGAAAACTTATAAAAATATACTGGTATTTAAAATAGATTAATAATATTATTAATATCAATAGTTTGATCTATATTGTTATATCAAATAATGAATATAATATTGCTATATTATTTACTTATCGATATTCACTGAAGATAACAAACATTCGACCATCATTCGACATACTTTGTAAGTAATTGCTTAATAAATATATCTAATTATTCTAGGGCACAAACTAAATTTAAACATACCTGTACATCAATGGGTCGTAGAGAAAATAAATTTTCCTCTTCGGCTAGTTTTAAACCCAAATATTTATATAAAATATCGATGTCGTTGAAGGAGCAAGCACAGCAGGCATATTTTGAAACATCCGAAGATAAAGGATCTTTCTACAAAACAAGTAAGTAGAAAAAATAAATAAATTATATATATATATATATATATATATATATATGTATATATATATGAACAATACAACTCTCAGATTTTTAACACACACTTTATTTAATAATTGTAGATGTTTCGAGACTATGGTATGCCACATCTTCAGTGTATTTTCAAATAGTAGAAATTATATACTAATACATTATTTAAAATTTTATTTAAAGTATATTTAATTTTTGACAAACAAAAAACACAAACTATCTCTTACAATGCTTGACACAGTACTAAACATGTGAATATATACAGAAATATTTGATCAAGCACTTCTTTTATTTACATTATAATAACATCCATTCTTGTTCCTTAATCTTCGACACTTAAGATTTGTTTTCAAATATTTCTGTATATATTTACATGTTTAGTACTGTTTCAAGCATTGTAAAAGATAGTTGGTGTTTTTTGTTTTTCAAAAGTTAAATATAATTTAAATAAAATATTCAATAATGTATTAGTATATAATATTTACTGTTTTGAAATAACACTAAAGATGAGGCATACCATGGTCTCGAAATGTCTGTAATTATTGAATAAAGTGTGTGTTAAAAATTTGAGTCTTGCAATGTTCAAATTTAAAATTTATATATATATATATATATATATATATATATATATATATGTAAAATTATTTATTTATACCAGCTTTGGCACTAAATATGCCATAATTGAACTAACGTTTAACATTGTAGTGATAGCTTAAGAAAGTCTTAAATTAAAGTAGAAAAGTTGTAATCTTTTCTAATTACTTTTGTTTGATGTAGAATGTTGTAATTTTAGTATGCCTTATTTTAACATGTCTACTATAAGGCAAATACTATAATCTATAAGTTTTCTTTGGAATTTTCAAGATGTTTATAGTTTTATGAAAAATGTATCTCCAAATAAAAGTATGTATGTTACATTGATAAAATGAATGAGTAAAGTTCTAGAAATTCATAATGATTTAATTCATAATAATAGAATGAATTGAATGAATGAATAAAAATTCACAAAAATAGAATATTTTAATTTTAGTATCTTATACATTAATATATCTGCTATGACAACAAATACTAAAATTAATAAATTATGTTAAAACTCTTCTAGATATAACTTTTTTAAAAAAGTACCTCTCGTTCTAATCACCTTCTTATCTAAGTATGTATTTCAAACTAACATGATGAACAAGAAAAGTTTTAGATTTTTATGAAATTTTGTATTTGTTTTAAAAGGATTTAATTATGTAATTTAACTTTAATATTTCTACTGTGATGACAAGTACTAACATAAATATATAGCAAATTACTAGCATAAATAGATAGATAGCAAAGTATAAACAGATAGCAAACACGGCCGCTTTGAGTTAGTTCAATTTTAATACTTTCTTCAATTTCTTTCAATTACTTCAATTTTAATTCTTTCAGCATATCACAGAGGTCTATATACATATAAATATATATATATATACACGTATAAAATATATTTTCAACAAAATCACAAATATGTTGTGAAATATATGTAGTAAGAAAAAATTAAACATTTTTCTCATTCAAAAAAAGATGTATTTCAATATATAAAAATGGGTACTTTTAAAGTATCTAGAGAAACTGTGTTTTAAAACAAACGCGGAATTTGAAGCACATTAGCACCATCTATGATATGCTGAAAACATCATACATTTACCCCCTTATGAGTACTAATATCGATAAGTTCTCCTTAAAATAATAATATAATTACAATTACACTGTCAGGTCCAAATTTGCTCGGTTTTCCATTTGAATCACAAGGCAAACCATTGAACAAATAGTAATCTTGCTCCAATTTCCATATTGGGAAAACAAAAGCACCAGTTGAAAGAAGACCGCATTTGTGTTTCAGGAAAAAAGTTTCTAAACATTGTGAAAAATCTTGGTCGATCTGAAAATATACAAGTAGTTATATACATATTTTAAAATATACTGTATATGTAATACATATATAAAGTACAAACTTTATTTAAAGAGGTACAAAGTTAAATTGTAAATGTTGGTCATTTGAAAGGAAAGCATTTGGCCAGCATTTGATGAACCAGAGAATTTCATTAAAGCCCGGACTTTGTTGTTATATGAAGTATCAATTTTGTTCTTTTAAAAAGGTTTGATCTACCAGGAGAATAGTCATATATGTATTTAAAATGCAGAAAATGATTCAATTATCCTAATAGTGCTCCACCTGGTAATCAAATGCTCTAATCAGAGCATATAAATTTGGATTTTTTTTAAGTAAAACTTCTTTAGACGCGACTAGGGTGTAAATCCGTACAAATGCAACGGAAATGCATCACGACAGATAAGATAAGAGTCGAGTGTGAATGATTCATCATTCACTCTCGATGATATCATTTCTATACGGGTCGATTGTGATTAGTCCTCGCGTATGTGAATAGAGATCTGTTGTTGTATGCGTACCGGCGTCAACGTTGTTATAGTTATTAGTTAACTATTGAAATGGAAAATATTTTATAGGCAAAACAGATATTACAGCTGTTGA